GCCCACTTGCTATGGGAAGGTAATACTAGGAACCCTGATTGTGAAGCTGTTTTTTAGTTGTTCTCAATTTTAGATGTAAGTAATCAACCTCTTCCCAGAGCAGGTTAAAACCTGTCTGGCAATATGGCGGTGCCATACTTGAATCCCTCTCACTGCTCCCTGCCAGTGGAAAGAGTCCTTTCAGAGCAAACTGCATCCTTCTTTTTCAGTTCACAATATGCATGGGTTCATGTGACCACCTAGTCTACCGGCGTTTATTCCTGGATCTCCTAGCCCTGGTTGCTTACCTTGCTTTTGTGGCTCCAGCTTCCCTTCCCCAGGAGCCAGGAGCCAGGGAGGGAGTCCAGACTGTTTAGTTGTTTTCTCTAAATTATAGTGCACCTCTCCAACTTCTCTGTAGCTTGTATTTGTCCTGTTTTTTCCTTCCTGATTCCCACTGAATTATTTCACTTTTTTTTCTTTGCTAAGTTGTTATTTTCCAGCATCTTGATTCTGGATGTCAGAGAGACTTACTTTTGCAACTGAGCACCACTCCACCATTTCTCCTTGTGAATGTTATTTTAAGCACTAAGCTTTTGATGACTCTCCAGCCTGTCAAGTATGCCAAAAGCCTCCCCGTCCCATAATAACTATAGGACCATTGGATGCCAGCATAGAGAAGGGAGTGATGAAACAGGAAGCTGCTAGAGGAAGAGACAGGAGGAGGTTGAGGCTACCATTGGATGCCAGGAAGCGAGAAGGGCACTGAAAGAAAACCTGAATTGCTCTCCAGCTTGGCCTGGAGCCAGTTACAGCAGGCCTAGCTGCATTTGGGCCAGCAGTTCCAGTGTTCTGTTTTACATCTCTGAGCTTTCCTTTGTGTGAACATGCTTTACAACAGCCTACACTAATGTGGTACCAGATGAATCCATACCTACATGTTCTATTTTCCTATGGTCACTTTTGTTTTGTTTCATGTCTAATGACTGCCAACCTGGAAGGTCAATGTGTATAGCCAGTCTTGAGGGAAACCAGGATAGATCCACATGTCCAGGTGTACCACTGAGAATGTACTTGCTTGTTTCCTTGCTCATAGAATCAGAGAAGTCATTATCATGTAGAAAAGGTGGGGCTTTTTTTTTTTTATGGTACCAGGGATCAAACTCAAGACCTTGAGCTTGCCAGGCAGGCACTTAGGCTGCTAAATCATTTCATATGGCAAGATTGTTTTTTCTCTCTATTATTAAGAGAAAAAAATCATTAAAAATTATCTTTGTTTCCCATCGTGTTAATGTGAGCCCTTAGTTATTGCAGACTGGTGAGGCCTGCAGTCTCCTAACCAGGTAGATGGCAGCAAAGGCAAAATAAAAAAGTCAAGCAGGGGCTGAGGAGATAGCTTAATAGAATAAGCACTTGCCTGGCAAGTGCAGGGTCCTGAGTTCAATCCCTGGTACTGCAAAAAAAAAAAAAAAAAGTCAAGTGTTTTGAATTTGGGATTTTAAGATAAACAGTTTCTCTAGGCAGCCTGATTTATTATGTTATCAAACAAAGGAGGGGAATACTGAAGAAGATGCAGGAATCTAGGTAGAATTTGGAAATCCCTTTAAGGGATTATGTTAATTTAGAAGAACTGACATCTCCAGGAAGGCCTCCACCACAGGAAAGAGGTGCCTGCAGTTACAATCTTTATTTAGCTAATTGAGGTTGGAACCAGGTAGCTTAGTGTGGCCTTGTCTTGTCCTTTGGCTTCAGCCACAGTTACTGGCTGCTCACAGAAGCCAGACAGGGGGCCCAGAGCTTGGGCAGGCTTACAAGTAAACATGAAAAGCCATATTGATTAATTAACTAATATATTGTTTATTGGTTAATATAAATCCTGCTCAGAGCCACTTCTAATGGTCTCCATCAGTTTTCTTTGTTCTTAAATCATAGTTCTTTTAAAGAAAAATGCAGGAATGAAAGTTTTCCAGGGCTACAATTGTTTTGCAAAAGTAATTATCTCTTTTATTAATGTATATAAGATTTAAAAGAGTATAATGAAGCAGATTGGCTGCATGAATATTATTTTATATAGGATTTTAATCATTGTGAAAAATAAGTCATTTTTATTGCCTCTTGATATCTATTATCTAATATTCAAATTAATTTACAAATAATAGCCACCATCTCACTTCATGTTGGCAGTAAGTTACATTATAAAAGTTTGTTATATAATAGAAAAAAGGAAATAATAGACAAATTATAACATTTAAAATAGTCACAGAATGCACTATCAACTGTAGACACTATAAGGTCATAAAGAGTCTCTTCTTTTTTTTTTTTTTTTAATATCCAGTGCTAGTAAATATCACAGCCATACAGTTCTAGGCGAAGTGCAATACTTTGGCTCCATGTTTTAGGAATGATACGGATAAATCTAGAAATGATTGGTGGATTGAAAAAGTTCTTTACTTGTCCTTTGACATTGGTGTTTCCTTCAAAAACCTGAAATCAAAATGAGAAAGATAGCTCTCAGTGTTGGTACAGTGAATATAAAAATGTGACAATTCCTTACCCTTTTGGTGCAAACATGGACATCAAATATGGGACAACAGGAGAATGGGGAAAAAATGAATCACAATATAACACGTACAGGTACTAATTACCTATGATAAATGAGATCATTGTGTATACCTAAAATGTACCAATAAACAATTAGAAAAAGTACTATCATAGAGGTGATGATCATCAATTAGTATCTGCTGAAGAGACCCACTTAAGCATTTTCATTTCACTAGTGATCTGGTCAAATTAAAGAAAAACAAATCTGATGTAGTGCTGTAGAACTATTGTTATGTATATTTAGGACAGGGTCTACCCAGTTTATAGGGTCTCACTACACAGACTGGACTCAGTGCTTCTCCTGTTTTCAGCCTTCCAAGCGCTGGGATTACAGGCGTGCACCACCACGCCCAGTCTCAAACAGGTCTCAACCCCCCCCCCGGGGGGGCGGGGCTGGCACAGTGTGCTGGGAATTGAACCCTGGTCACTGGGCTCTGCCTAAGCAGGCATTTTAGTCAGCTGAGCTATCTGGCCAGCCCTGTATAACATTTTTAAACAATTCTTAGATACTTCTCATTATCCATGTCCTCATCTGCAAAATAAGGATGACAAAAATTGTATCTCAGAAAGTTATAAATGATAGGTTCTGGCCCTAGTATGAATTGCTGAATGATTAGGGTGGTCATGTAACATGGCTGAAGCCCTTAAAACAACAACTTACCTTCCTAGTGACCTCTTCCTTCTTCTTCCCCACCCCAGTCCTGGATACCTTACTTGTGCACACAGGGAAGACCCTAGTCAGTTCCTTACATCTAAATGAAAATGCCCCTCAAACTCCACCCCTAGCAGGGGTCCCTAAAAGCCTCAGCTTTCTTTTTCTCTAGGTTAGAGGATCCCCTATCTCCCTTGGATTCTCTCTTTGTCCTCAAAGATAATAAAGTCCCCTCCCTTTTTCCCTTGTACTTCTGTTTCTGTGCTGCATCTCTGCTGAAAAACCCAATAGTAAAGTGGAAAAATGTACATAAACATGACAAATGCCTCATTCAGTGTTGAGTAGTGAGTCCTAAGAAGTGAAGCATTTAAAATAAAGTATCACCATACGTTTCTGTGTAGTTATACTTTCTTACAATTGCTCTATACACTCAACTAACCTTTTAAAAAGTCCTCTGCAATTTCTCAAAGATTTACACGTATAGAAGAAATTAAATCAGTTATTTATGATTGTGGTTCTTACTCTGATATGAGCCGAACCTAGTATAGTGAGAAATAAACCAATGGAAACAGACAGCAAGGTGTTTGAACAGTGAGAAATGGGTATAAATCTTTAACTGAGTTAAGTGCTGAGCATTTGATTAGAATTCGTTAAATCGCAGTTCCCTTTTTTTTTTTTTTTTTAACATTTCTTTGCCTACTGGATTTAGTCCAATTTCAATTCCTGGAATATTAGGCATATCTCTTGAATTTTGTTCCAGGACATTTTTTTTTCTCATGGTACCAGGGATCCAACTAAAGACCTTGAGCTTGCCAGGCAGGCACTTAGGCTGCTAAGCTATCTCTCCAGCCTCTTCCAGGACATTTTAAAACCATCTATTAGGAAATAAAGAAATTCAGTATTGTAGTGGAGTAAAGTAGTTTCTCTTCTCTCCATCAGAAAGGATAATAATTTTTTTCTATTGAATGACAATATGACATACAAAAGTCTATGATCTTGGGCATTGCTCAGTCATGAATAAAAAGGGTAATTAATCTAAGGCAGTGCTACTATGGCATTATTTCACAGTGGAAAGTTTTTCTGAATTTTTCCTTCTCCATCTTTCTTAGAGCTAGTTAAACTCAAGCACCCCCTACTATTGTGTCTTCACTATTTTCATAGCTGGCTCATTCAAGGCAGAAAGGTGGTGTACATGATCCCTGTCCCAAGACCAGGTGCCTCTAGAACTAAGATTTAGAAGGCTTAAAGAGGTAGTAAGTGTCAAAGCATACTTGTCAATTATAAGGTGCTGCCCATGTCCCTAACACGAGACAGTTCTCAGACTGCTTTCTCTTTGCCCAGAAGCCAGTCCATACCTTGTCCATCATGGAGGATTTCTGCCTGTAAGGTTTCCATTCTAGTCCCTGGTCACTGTATTGAATGGTGTAGCTCTTCACATACATTTCAGAGGACAGAGACTTGCAGCCCTGTGTTACAATTGCAGTTATCTTCTTGATTTTGAGCAGATCAATTTGTAACCACTGTTGATTGTTGTTTGCCTATTAAAATGAGGAAAAAAACATGGACAAATATCATGTTAGAAGCTTTGCTTTGTTTTGACCAAGCTCTTCAGAAACCACAGGGCTTGAAAGGATTTCTTTTCTGTCTCATAGCCTCAGATTTGTTGTCTTTTAGAAGACTTCCATATTTCTTTTCTTGTTTGTTGCCACAGATGTATAAATTTCTATTGGTGCAGTTCATGCCTCATACAGTGACTGTTCCTTTACTTCTTTATGATACTTATTATTCAAGGGGAGAGGTTTTAGTTTGGCTTTCTGGTATTAAAACAAAACAAGACACAGTTGGTGTTCAATCAATACTTGCTTTCCTTTTTTTTTTTTTTTTTGTGGCAGAATAAGGGATTGAACTCAGGCCCTTGTGTTTGCCAGGCAAGTGCTTATTTTACTGAGCTATCTCCCTGGCCCCAATAAATATTTTCTGAGTAAATGAATAAATTAATTTTACTTGAAAAATTGCTAAATTATCTCTAATATTTTTAAACAACTTTGTTTAATTATTATGGTAACAGTTGCAGGATTATCTGGGAAAGAATTCAGTAGCATCCTTTCTCTATTTAACATTCTTCAGAAAAACTTAACTTTTCTTTCCACTGCTACTATTAAATGGGAGAAACAGGCTAATTTCTTATTTTTCAAATTTCAAATAAATGTAATATTTGTGAGTGCTAATAGAGCCGTAAGTAGGACTGACATGTCATCAGAACTGTCCTGTCCCTAATCTAACATAAGGGCTAATCACGTTCAGTGATAGGTGCTTGGAGAAAGTCAGAAGGACTAATTGATATTTTTAATCATCTGAGATTAATTTTCACATTCCAGAGACTTATGCCCAAGTGATCTCACCAAATTTTATATAAAACTAAATATTAGGCCAAGCAAGATAGCTCAGTGGACTAAGCGCCTGCTTAGGCAAGCACAGGGACTGGGGTTCAATCCCCAGTACCATGTGCTGCACATGGATGCTCTGAACTGGTGACCAGGTCCGTGTGTGGTGGCGCTTGCCTGTAATCCCTGCGCAGGGAAGGCTGAAAACAGGAGGATCACTACGAGTCCAAGCTGAGTAGTGAGACCCTGTACCAAATGCATAAAAAAAAAGAATAAATATTGATATATTTCCTCTACATCATTTTATTCTGTGGCTATATGTGTATCTTTTTATTTGCATGTGTATTTATATGTATACATAGGTATGATATATTTAAAAGCAAATTAATTAAATTAAAATAATTATAGTAGAACTTTTTGTTAATTTTGTGACACCCTCTAGTGACATCTGGGTGGTGTCTTAAGTATGTCTTTCAGTTGATGAGCCATGAAACACAAGAGGATTTTTGCAGGCATAAATGAGTTGGGAACACTTCAGTCAGGGACAAGTACACATCAATGTTGCTTGCCTGCATGTGTCTTGCTTCAGTCTCTGAAGAAATCCTATAAACATATTTCATATGAAAAAAGGTTAACTATAAGAGTTACTTCTAGATTTAAGAACTCTAGGTTTATGATGATAGCATTAAAAATTAAAATTAGCATTTTATCTTTCAAGTTTCATTATACTACAAAGACTAAGAGCAAACTATATGGGGAATAATTTGTTAAGGTTTTAAAATGGGGAGGTGAGAGGGGATTGAGTGGCACCACTCTAACCATTTAGTACTTATATCATTATATAAATATAATGTAATATAATATTATTTTAATTATTTTACCTTCTCTGGGTGTCAGTTTTACGCTCTGCAAAAATTGAAACATGCGGTGTTTGGGCTGCTTCAAATAGAAAAAACACTACTGCCTATCTACTAGGAAAGGGATTCAAGTTCTGTTCTACCACCAAATTAAACTAAAATTACTTTTTTTTTTTTTTGTATTTAGACTGAAAAGGAAAGGTATGGAGCAAAAGCTTCATAAGCAGCCTGAGACTTTAGTATTCTGTGATCCCATGATGGCCCAGAATGAGTTTTGAGGCGCAGAGAGGGGTCTCCAAGAGTGCATGGGGTACTGGCACCACGATTCTCATTCCTTTTCTAGTGGTCTAAGTTGAGGACAGATTCTGGGCTTATATAGAGAGCCCTGGGAGCTGGAATGTGAGTATATTAAGGGAGGAGATTGGAGGATACTAAGGAGGGAATTTGGATTTAGTTGGGTGCAAAAATCCTTAAATTACCCAGTCAATTAAGAATGAAACAAAAACCAAATAAACAGTGAACAGTTACGCTAATGTTAGGTCACCTGAATTACTCAATGAGTTCATATCAGGAAAAGTATAACTCTCTGGAAATGTTTTTTAAATTTAGGTCACTGATTTATAACTAGTTTTGCAGCATTTTACCTTGCCTCCAGGCATCTCAGGAAATGTCTTAAAATAAGCTCTTAAAAAATGGGCACAAAAAACTTAAAAAGCACTCTTAGTAAAATGAAAGATATTGCTAAATTGTAAAGAAACAAAATAAGAAATGTTATAAATCTAAAGCATTTATCACTGATGTTATTGGCATCTGGAATTGGAAACTACAGCCATGATAATGCATGTATATATTGCCTGTGGCTGATTTCCTGCTACAATGGTAGAGGTGAGTTATGATGACAGTGCTTGTTCTATAAAGCCTAAAATATTATTTTTTTAATCTTTACAGAAAAATATTGTCCCCTCATGGTTTAAAATGAAGACTAGACCAACAATAACAGATGATAAATGATTTTTCTCTGAACTAAAACAATTGATTCTGCAGATATCTTAGATTCTCAGACCTCAGATTTTCATCTGAGTCACAGGACATGATACTCCTGCTTCCCAGAACCCCCTACTCCCTAGGGTTGCCTTCTGGGGGTGCTGAGGGGAGTTCATTCATAGGGTCTGTATACCTTGGCTTGCCAGGCATTCACTCGGCCCTGTGCATTAAGGCGGGCACGGGACGGCTCCCAGTAATCTCCCCACCATGATTTTTTAAATGAGGAGGCTGTGATTTGCTTGTTTTCTATTTTTCCCTTCTCCATTCCCAGTGGTGTAGAACATCCTGTCAAGAAAAAGGTAATGTGATTAATTACACAACATTAAAATTCTCTGCATGATGTTTTACACTTCAGAGTCCATAAGAAACAACATTACTACCGATTGACAGCAAAAACTATTGCAACAATGCACATTCATTGAATTCTTGGGGCAAACCGTGATCTTAGGTGCAAATGTATTCCTTAATGTTCATAATTATCTCCATTTTATGAATGAGAATTTACCTGAGTGGACTCTGTTTCATGAAGATTTTTCTGAAGTCTAAGTTATTGAAGAGAACTAAGAATTCCTTGTATTTCCTTCCGTACCCCAAATCTAGAGTATCAGAATACATCAGTGAGAAGATAATACATCTTTCTTTGATCCTTACCATTAGCCTCACAGCCTTGCAGCTCCAGTCGAAGGGTAGGTCTGTTATAGGATCGCGTTGGAGATACCCTAATATATCTAGCCACAATAGGTGGATCAAACTGATTGTCCTTTATTGTAGTGGCATCTGTATTGCCATCAAAATACTAGAAAAAAGAAGACAACTGAGTTACATAACAGCTCTCTATAAAGTGACATGATAATCTTTTTCATCTAATTTAATATTAGGTATTAAATTTTCATGGGGCCTAAATCACATTGATTTGATCTTAAAAAATAATTGAGGCTACTTCTGCTTCCAGGAACATAATGTACTTTGCCTTGTTTGCTCCTGCTATGTACAGCTAGGTATGCTGGAAACAAATATAAAAGAAAATGAACAGTGGAGAGAGGCAAGAATACTGAGGTTCTCAGGACCCTAGGAAAAACATGGTGGTGGCTTTCCTGGGCTTTGGTTATCTCTTATATATCCTAATCCTGGAGATGAAGAAGCCGGCAACCTGCAGACACACCAATGTACAGAAAAAGAATGCTCCAACCAAAGGGCCAGGAAAGGATAGTTTAACTGAGCAGAAAGGATCAGACAGTAACTGTTCTGTATGAGCCAAACCCCTGAAAAAATGATAGAAGTTCCCCCAAACTAGCAGCAAAAACAAAAGGGGAGACTTGTATGCTTGTTAGACTAAAGCAGTACCTCAGTACCCTCGTTGGGGCTATGTCTGAAAAATGTAAGATAGGAACCCAGGCCTTTCATCCGCTCCAGCCCCTAATGATGCTTCTGCTCCTGCAGAATCAGTAGAAACCACGTGGGGAACTTGGTTCCTGCACAATTACAAGGTTTCCTTTTGTGGGGTAGAAGGAGGGCTTGAGAGGAGGGTTTCCAGCTGGCCCATGGAAGACCTAGCAGGGGAGCAGCATTCCTTAGGCATGGCCCCAAGTAAATCAGAATTATAGTGTCTCAGAGTGTCACTGGTATAAATATTCCTGCTTCCTTCAGATATACTGAAATTAAAAACAAAATAAAATGTCATAGTAAAATCAAAACTCTTGGCAAATTTCTAGCATAAGCTTGAGAAATAAGACCAGATATTTTGTTCTGTACATGATCTGCCAATCTGGTGTTTGGGTTTCTTTTTTTAAAAAAATAATAAAGTGATAGTTTTCAATTTTTGTGGAGTTTTGCAGTTTCAGCAGTTCTGCCTATTCCTTTAATTCATAACATACTGCCATCATATACCACTTTCTTCCACAAAAGCCTTAGGAAGCTCTTCTCCTTTCCTAGATTCCCTGGGGTGAGTCTTGAAGTTAGATAGAAGTATGTACACAGACCATCACATTCTTTGTGCTGTTTCCTTTGAAGATCTGCCAGCTCGTACTGTCAGAGCTGTAAGCCACGTAGAACTCGGTGGTGTAGCAAGACTTGAGGTAATGTTTGGCACCCTGGGTTTGGATCCCTGTGAGAACAACTTCTTTTTGCATGTCCACCTGCAAAAGAGGTCAGCTGTCAACAAAGGTGTCCTTGTATGCGAATTACATGCTGTCACAATTCAGTCTGTTCAGCTTTCTTAAGAGGGAAGGAACCAACACCTAATGTTTTCTTTGTTTGTTTTTTAATCAGATATTTTTATTCGGATATGTGTGCTGTACATAATGTTTAGCTTCCTCGTATTGAGGTGGCCCATGCACAGAACACATCTTAATTTTCTTTTTCATACCTTTCCCTGCTCTCCTCCATCCTTCTATCTCTTGAGTCCCAGACCATTTGAGAAAGATCTATCTCCCTACTTCCTATTACTTATCTTTTATCTTAGAAAATGGGTAAGATGGTTAGATGCAATCTATATTTGAGTATAGCCTGGAGTTGAATTCTAGTTCAACCACTAATTACAAGTATGCTTTGGTAAGTTAGGTAACATCTCTCTGCCTTGGATTTTTTCGTCTGTAAAATGGAATATTAGATTCACCCTCACAGCGTTGATTTTGAGGATGTAAAGTACTAAGAATAATGCCTAACAACTATTGGTTTCTATTCCCCTAATCACATCACAAGAAAAATAAGAAATTATTAAATCACTGTCATGTTTATTATTACAATATTATCAGACTAATAATAAATATTATCAGGCTAATTAGACATACCTGGATCCAAGGTTTAGAGGCAATTTTTAATCTGCTTTTTTCTATACTCCAAGCATTATATGATCCACCATTGTTTAATCTTGCTAATTTGGGTTCCCAGTTATCTAAATTCAAAGGAAGAAAGGAAATCTTAGAAAAAATATTTTTTTTCTCTAGTAGTAGGGGTTGAACTCACCCTATGCACTAAATGAACTACATCCTCATCCCCTTTTTAAATTTTTATTTCTTCAGTCTTGGTCTTTTTTTTTGGCAGAACTGTGAATTGAACTCAGGCCCTTGGGCTTGCCATCTGAGCCATCTTCCCGGCCCCTTGGTCTTCTTCTTTCTTTTGTGTGTGTATGTATTTAGTACAGGGTCTACAGGGTCTCACTTCACAGATTGGACTCCTCGTGATCCTTCTGTTTTCAGTCTCCCAAGTGCTGGGATCATAGGTATGTACCACCATGCACAGTCTCATTCCCCCTCTCAGCGTGCCCTGGGGATGGGACCAGCACTGCATCCCAGAGATTGCACCCCAGTCTCTGTATCTGAGACTTGGCCTTTTTTCTTTTCTTTTCTTTTCTTTTCTTTTCTTTTCTTTTCTTTTCTTTTCTTTTCTTTTCTTTTCTTTTCTTTTCTTTTCTTT